GCATTTGCTGCGCGATTAAACACTAATCTGGCATGACACCTCATTGGCCACAAACGACAGCAAACACGGGGTAAAGATTAGTTCAGAGTGGAAGCCACTTCGCGCTGCCATACCGCGAAACGGCAAAACCGCAAGACAAAGCATCTCGCCGAAGGCCTTCGGAAGGCTCGGAGCCGGTCGGATCCTCCTGCCCATACGACCGCAGCGCTGCCGCGTACATCCGGGACCTTTCCGTGTCGGCGCCTGATCCCACTACTTCTTTCTAGTATGCGCCGCCTTTTCCACCACTTGGTGGCGGGTATGTCGACGGGTCAATTCTTGTTTCCGTACTTTATAAACTGCATTTGTTTCTTTTCTCATCTAAAATAGTGAACTTAAACTACTTGTATAAGTAATTGAAACAGTTCGCGACACTTATATTCTGTATTTCGACTAAAAAGAAGCTTTTAGCGGCTCTGACCAGTAGTAAGCCCAGGACCAAAGACGTCACATTTTGCGCGCTTTCGGTACCGCGGGTCGCCCTCGTCGGTGGGGGGAGGTTTCCGCGTCGTCCGGTTAAAATATGACGCACTGATATTTAGTTATTCTCTCCGTGCCCGGTGGCTTGCCCGAACTTCAAGAGACGTGGAAAACGCAAAAAAGGTAGACGCTTAAATATGATTGCAGGGCCCCTTTAAGACTCCTCTTGTGTCGAGCTGTTGCTATGGCGACACTTACGACGAGCCAATGGGGAGGCACTGTGCTGCAAGACGCAACGGAGCGCAACGCGGTCGACGCAAATGTGCGAACCAGCCTTAACGCAGGACTAGATGCTTCTTAGTCACCGTTTTTTTTGTTAGTTTGCGACTACTTGGACGCGCTACTGACTTTAAAACTGTGCTAGTTAGTCACAGCTGGTGAATATGGCTGTAGTAGTTCTTTAAATGCATTCCTGAACCACTGTGTAAGAAAACACTTCGACGTTGAGTAAACTAACTTTTGCTTGCATGTCTTTTTGTATTTCTTTTTCAACACATGTTTCTGTTTCTGCTATTCATTTGTGACATGTGATTTTATCAAAATACTTATTGCTCGCCAATTAGAACATGTGTTTTTACGTACATGGCATTCTTACAAGACCTGGACAAGGACAATCAGTATAAATAAATAAAGATAAACATATAAAAATTACTACTACAGCTACTTTAAACATTCCCCTTAACACATTTTAGCACCTCCACCAAAGAAAAGTGAGCTTCCCCCAGTTTCCCGCGTGTCTAGACGCCTGCAAAAACTCACCCAAACAGGGCAAACTCTAAATCACACACACACACACACACAAAAAAAAAAGGCAATTTCAATAAAGGAGGGAAGTGGGGTGGCATTGTTACTGCCGAGGGAAGGCAAGGGGAAGTGACAAAGGGGGACTCCACACACACACAAGAGGGATGAAACCGATATGGACGTATATCCCTCTTTTTCACCCTACGCTGCCAACCAACCCCCCAAAACATCCCACTCCGCTGCCACCTTTTTTCATTCCGGATCCCTAACCCGATTATGTGAACGGCTTGGAATCTTGAAAGGGAAGTTTCGTTTCCGTTATTGGGTGTTCTATAGACGCCGCTGCTGCGGGGGCTCAAAACAGGGTAACTGCATTGTCGGGCTATTCGGTGCGGGCCCGACTTGTTTGCTTGGACTGCCCCCAGGGACCCGCCACCGTACACGAGTGCAAGTCTCGAGACGTCCTTGTGGAGCTTTGAAGGTTGCCAGACTGCTTGAAAGTGTGGTGTAGTAGCCTAGATTTTTCACTGCAAAAGTGAGGAGGCTCTTGAACGTCAAATCTAATCGAACTTGGGGGTTTTATCTGCCGAACCAATGGAGAGCATCTGGCACGTCTCGGCAGAGAACCGAGGATTAGTTTCGACCCTACGAGAATCTTCTGACATGCGACCGAAATTTCGGTTACACGGCATCTTCTCCGCAACAAGCCTCTGCCGGATTGCATGCACGCCGGCCAGGATTCGAACCCGTCAATTGGGGATACGCAGGCTTTGCCTCAGAGCCACCGGGGCGGCTGCTTCAACGTGAAATCAGGGAGGTCCGACTGAAGAGGAAAGAGTCAATGTCGCGCAAACGTGAGTTGTCGTTTAGTTCATGAAGGGCATCTGTTGTGACCATACCATTGCAAGTATCCAAAACAAAGTTATCAAAATGTCTGTTGTTGTTTGAACGAGTATGTCGTGTCTGATAGCCGAGCTGTGTAATGCTCGCGTACAAGTTTGTGCAGTTTGACGGTTTAAACTGCGAGCCGCGTACAGGTGTAGACCGCCCAACACGAACCCTCTTGTCCTGTCGTCACATCATTCGCGGGACAAAAGTCCAGCTGAGAAAGGCCAAACACAAAGACTTTGTGTTTGTCCGTCCTTTCTCGTCCCAGTCCCGGAATTTTTAGTCGATTGATCGCTCATCTTTTTTTTTTTCCTTTTGCCGATTTCTTTTGCGTAAGGGGCAGATATAAAGGCAAGACGCCTCACAGAGCCTCTGCCCCCCTACAGTTCCACAGTGCAAAATCACAACATAACAAAAGAAAACAAATGCGTTATGAACATACATTGCTGTTAACAGAGTAACACAAAACAAACCAAATTAAGTTGCAAATGATTATATGAATATAAATCAAACATAAAATCACCCCCCCCCCCATCACGAAAATAATAATAAAAAAATGCATTGAACACTGAAACTACCAAACATGCCTCCGTTGCGCAGTCTAAGAAATATGCAACATTAAAATGAGTTACAACAGTGTTTCGCATTTAGGAAAAGATTTCTAAAAAGAGATAATATCCTGCACTTCTACTTCAATAAAATAGGAATCAAAAAGCACACAAACATCAGGTTACTTCTAAGTAAGCTGAAGAAGAAACAAAAATATAATGATTTCACAGTATATTATATGGATGAACATGTAATTTAATTTGCCACAAGCGTTTTTCCGTAGTCCTTTTTGGAACTATAAAAAGGTTTATCTAAGTCCACGCACATGTCTCCCCTGTACAAGACCTTATTTATCTGAAAATTTAACCTCTGCCGACCATAGGTAGTTCATATCGCCAGCACGTTTCGCTTCAGATTTCGAGTACTGTAAGTACTATTTAGATTGTTGGCGCAGTGTGGATGGAGTCTGTTTCTGTGTATCATTCACATGCCTGTGAAGTGTGCAATTTGTGAGGTATAGCTAAATAATTTTGTGAGCCTGACTTACTCTCTTCATAAGTATGAGAGGTGTATTGGAAGCATAAAGTAGCGGATTACCTTTTCCCAAAAATAGGGTTAGGCGTGGTCTTCCAACAATATGCCAAACTTTCCAGAACAGCTACGCTCACCAACATTTCTAAGCTATCCCTGCTAGCATGCTCACGGTGCAACAGATACTGTGAAGAAGTTTGGCTGTACTATCCGTTAATACTGCACATAATCTACTGTTTCTGCTTTGCTCTGGGAGACACTGTAAGATAAATCAAATGTGATGCAGTTGATGTCAACTCAAGCTTTGAACTAAAAGAAACAAAAGAAGCCTTCAGGCAAATGTAATAAACCAAGAAATATTCGCTGCATCGCTGTACATGTCCAAAAGTTTTTCTGAGAAGCTCGAAGCTACGCTTGCAAGCGAGTGTGGTCATTGTACACATGCCGCCCAAAATTCCCTGAGCGACGCTAGCATTAAAAGAAGTACGAAAAGGGGCTAAAGACCTCCCTTTGGACAAGTCCACACACGAAAAAAAAATGCTTTCCCCCCAGACACAAGTTCAGAACTGCAGCTTCAAAGGACACCAGAAAAAAGCCACAAACTCATCTTTTTACAGCACTAACAGCATGAATGAAACACAAACATGCATACAGCCTCCAGCTGTGAGTTCATATCCCTTTGACCCCTTTTTCTGCGCGGCGACGTATCCATTGGAAACGCGGAATCCATTACCTACACCTGCTCCTGCCTTCAGCACGACACGTCCGAAACACCTGCCCACCTTCCCTGAGCCTGATTAATGACGGGAAAAAAAAAGAGGTGGACGCTTTCAGGAGAGCATTGTGGACAATCTCTTGGGAAGCACCCAGTCTTCCTGCGCAAGTTCTGGTGTTCCATCAATCCGCACCAGAAGATCAACCTGCCACTTTCCTGCGCTCGGTGCCATTGTTAAACAATCTTCTAGGACACTTCCCCCAAGTACCCCTTCCACCATTCTTCTTCCACAGCAAGTTACACCACCTAGTGTGCTAGTGTCTGGCCGGATGTCATTTCTGGTTAAGAGAATGCTACAAATGAAAGCATGGTCCGAGGCTCATGTGAGAAAAACGAGGAAAGCTGCGATAGGAAAATCACCTCTCGGTAGCTTTTTTCAAATAAAAAAAACTTTATTAAGTTCCTCGCAGAACCAATCCTAGCTTACATCCTTTATGTGGTAAATTAGGTTACTTGCATGTGCATTTAGATAACTTATAGGTTATTTTATCAAAATATAAACATTTAAAATCCGAAAAGCTTATTTTTTTCTAATGACAACCAGCTATTGTAAGCAAATAAACTATACACAAATTCTTTTTTTTTTCTTCTTTTTCATGAGGAGTTAACAGGTACAATAACCTGCAGCGAAACAGATGGGGACAGAAGGAAGACTTTTGTCCTGTCTGTTTCGCTGTACGTTTCAAATAATCATGCCTTACCAACATGTCCAAGCTTCCATTCTGAAAAATAACCTGACCATGCGTAATCCCTCTATAAGCAAGAAAAGGTCATATGTCACATATTTGCACAAAACAAAAGTGGTATTCTAGTTCTATGTCTGAGAAAGGAAGTAAGAAGTCCTCTAAAAAAAGGTTCCCCTTTTCACCCCCAGGTGGTGCAAGCCACCACCCAATCCCAAGGGTTCAGTCACATTCGCCTGTCCATTCAATCTGTTGACACATTCTGACGTCTCCCCCTCCAAGCTGGCTGGCAACACCCAGGAGTCACTGACCTGTTCTTTGACGGACTGCAAGATGCTGGCTGCGCAACTGTTGGGGTAGGTGTGCATCAATGGCGGCTCCAACATGGCATCCTGGCTTGCTGGCATGGCGCCAGCCGTTCCAAGCACCGCCCGGGGTCCTCCTCAGCTGCGACGGAACAGCCGGACAACCCCTCAGCGAAGCACACAGACACATACACACATAAACTGATGCTACGCATGACATGGAGGCATTTCTAATCCTACATATTGCTAAACGGTGCATAGGCATGTTCAGTACAGGCACGTAGCCAGGGGGTGGAGGGGGCCATGGGGCCTGGCCGCCGCCGCCGCCGCCGCCGCCGCCCTTCCCCCCCCCTTATACAGCATTTTGTCATGGGCGGGCCCCCACCGAAACAAAATCCTGGCTACGTGCCTGGTTCCGTAGCATACTAGGAATTAGAGTTACTAGAAAACCTATACTCAGAGTATCGGCACCTCACTTCCCGTCTTTCTTGTGGGCGCCATTAGAGCCACTAAATGAGATACGCTTAGAGCAGGGGTGGCCAGGCTGACCCGGCCTAAGAGCCGCAAACGAAACCACGAAGCTTCTGAGAGCCGCGGGGGGGGGGGGGGGGGGGGGGGGGGGGGCAGGTTAAAATTTTGTTCAGAGTCTGACTGTACGTATGAGTGCACAAGGCTGTACGACGGTACGTATGGGGGTACAAGGCTGCCAAACCGCGAGCCGTACTTTATTCTGCCTGAAATCCCTTCTTTTTTTCTTGGGGAAACGCGGAAAGGGGCCGGGGGGGGGGGGGTTCCACTTATGAGGGATCCGCGAGCCGCACTTGGACCAGCAAAGAGCCGCATGCGGCTCGCGAGCCGCGGTTTGGCCACCCCTGGCTTAGAGTATCGGCACCCTGTTCCCCGATATTGTTGTGGGTGCCGCAAACTTGATATTTTTGTGGGTGCTGCAATCTTGGTGCTTAGCACAGTGCAAATGCCGATCGTCACAATTCAAAAGTGAAACTTCCTCGGTATTAAACTTGGTGTTAGGAAGCTCGTGTAATATTGCTTTGCTCTGTGACAAACTGTTTAAACATTTATGGAGAATGGAAAAGCGTTTCCTGTGATTTCAGATAAAACTTCAGATAACTGATAGATGATGATAAAAGATGCGTGTGTGTCATTACTCTGAAGCATAGCTTATTTAGTAGCACTAGGCGTCGCCACAGAGTGGGCGCATTTGCCGATTGTCACAAATCGAAAATGCAACATCCTGAGATTTAGATGTGGTGTCAAGGAAGCTGGGGTGATACTGTTTTGCTCTATCACGGACTTTCTTAACGTTTCTGGAAGATGAAAAACCAATTCCCACGATTTCAAATAAAGCTTCAGGTGACTCGCAGCCATGATTTTAGACACCAAGATGGCTGAAGTGTTGTTGCTCTGAAGTGTAGCTGATTTGATGGCTCTAGTAAAAAGAGTAAAGAAGTTGCACAACGAAATTCTCAATGTCCTTACATTGGCACCACCAAATCCCTGGGGCAAATGAACGTCAACCCATAAATCTTTCCCTCAGACTCTTCCTAGAACGCTCCATGCAGTGCGGTGGATGCTACAGCCGGTTCGTCAATCAGTCTGCAGGCTGTGCTCGTACGTGCAGCCGTCTAGATTTACTAGGTGATATATGCTCAAATGCCAACCAACAGGTATGATTACACCCTGATCAATCTTCGGCCGGCAGGGTTTCGGCAACTGAATGGAACAACAAAACAGGGTCGCAGCAGCCAAATTCTAGAATAGGCAAAGGTTAGGTAACACTAGAAACTATGCATTTTTGGTAGATCAATGTAGGACACAATTTGATAAAGAAGAAAATGTGACAGTACCGGGAAAGTGGCCAAGACTCATGTCACTGTAAGTAAGCTCAACGCAAAAGAAAACAGCTTGCTCCAGTTGAGACCTTTACATTAGCAAGATTAACTCTCAACACTCTAAGATGTAATGAGCAAAAGCCCAAAGCGCCTTTGTGGAAGCAGCCGCTCCCTTTCGAGTCATTGATTGATTACATACATTCTATACTCACTACGTCGCAGAAAGAGCTAGGTATGTATACTTACGCAGCGGCCCAAACCACACCCAGTGCAAAGGGCAGAAGCCACGGAGCAGATGTGAAGTAAAACAAGTTTCATTTTCGAAGCGCAAGCCAAGCGTTTCATATTTACTCAGTGGAATGCCATGTCACTATAAAACCCCGCAGCCCATAGTCGTAAAACACAATGAACAATGAACACAATCAATGATAATTGCTCGTCTTGCTGGTGGATTTATAGTAAACAGTAGTGTGCACCTGTCAACTTACTTTGCACGCAAGAAAAGTGGTGCTCTTCGTTTTCAAAACTAGGAAACATGTTTTATCTCGTTCCTGCAGAAAGCACTTTGAAAGAGAGAGTGTTTACTCTTGTGTATGGTAACAACTGCTAGCTAATTAACCCTTTGTCAATGAATTTGATGTGCACCCAGCCAAGCTCTAGCAAGGCATTAATATTAAATACAAGCAAAGTTCCCCAGTTTGGTACGAAAATCAGAACAATGCTACATCGGTGCCCTGCAGCTGGTGGAAATGTTTCCGTTTTTCCTTTGTTATTAGTTTAAGCAATAAAGGAACACAATTTGGAAGCTCTGACAGCCGCAGCCAAGCCTCTAACTTCATTCTTATTTGAGGAAACTGGCAGGAATAAGGAGTGTGCTCAACGAAATCATGAGAACATTAAAGAAAAAAATTCTGTATAGGGCCTCTTAGCTCATAGAATGTTATTTGCCGACCTGGAATTATTTTTTGTGGATGTGTTTTTGTTTTATTTTTGCAAAATTAGTTCTGTATTCAGGCTGTTCCGAACTCACTATAGTGCCGCACTCCTCAGAGTTTGATTAACGGCCCGCATTTCTGCCTCAGTGCAATCGCTGATAGTTACCAAATCTCTTGACAGTTCAGTTGCCCAGACGAAAGCATAAGACTAAATGAAGATCTCAAGAAAAACCAGACACCTAGTAAGAAAACGACAAGACTGACATCCAGCGCTCAATGTTTTAAGGCCATTTGCGCTTGTAAGCGAACCTGTTTTGATCTTCCCCAATGAATTAAGAATGCTGATCCCCTTAAGCGATGCGTCGTTTGAAACAAACACAGTTTTATCATCACTTTCCCATCAGCGAGAGACGACGCCAGATTGAGCAAAATCCCCACAAATCAATTCATTAGTAGTAAAGAGCAGGAGTTAATTTGGGTTTAATCATTAGTAGAGAAAAAAAAAAAAACTGAGGCGCTTCAAGCCGTTCACGGCACCACACTGGAACTGTGATCACATCTTTAAAGATCGTGGATGCGTCTTTTTTTTCTTTTTTTTTTTTTAAAGCACCCCACGTCATTCGCAGTGGAATGTCACGTCTTAAAAAGGTTCAATCCCCAGCCCTGCCCGTTTCGATAAGGTTGAGCATCGTGCCGGTGGCCGTACCGTATGCATTCATGGGTGCATCACTGTTGCGTGGTGCCCCTGCCAGTGGTACTGCACTGACAAAAAATTTCATTTACAGAACGCCCGCTGTCAAAACATACAGACAACGCAATTTACTTTTCAAATACAGATGTTGTTTTGATTACAACTTGTGCTTAGGTTGCGGACAGCCTACCAGAGCTGGGGCTGAAGAACATGCTCCGTCACAACTTATGTCAACAAAGCCAAAATCCGGAGCCTGCATCATTCAAATCCTCCACATCTCGAAGACGAGGAAACACGTACACGCATACGTAAATTCGCATGGGAGATCGCAGGAAATACCCGAGACGGGCGTAAGCTTTTCTTTTTTTTTAGGTCACAGTAAAGGGACGCCACGCAGACGACGAAAGAATGCATCCTCTCAGGTGGCCGGCACCCGAGAGAAGTTTCCAACTTACCCAGCTATCTTTTCCTCGGGGCAAAATCCAGCTTGCGACATTTCGCTACCCACGTATCTCGTCGTAGCGCACAGACATTCCAACGAATAAAACAAAAAAAAATAAAAGTATTAGGAACGACAGCGCCGCTGGCGTCTTCGTCGAGCCGAAGAAACCATCCGGGGTGGAGAGCTCCTTTCCGTACTCGTGAACTAGGCCTAAACTCCCAAGCTCTCTCGTTGTCGTGGAGACAGGTCACCGCGATTTGAGGCTAACGATTATTGGCGAAACAAGGGGGTGCGACTGTTTTCGAAACACAAAATCTCGCACACGACAAACGATCGCATACCGACGCTCGGTAGAACAAAAACAACAAAACGTTTAAACCAAAATAAAGCGAAAAAAGAAAAAGAAAAAGAGGACGTCCAAGCGGAGTTGTGGTTCCTCAAACCGCCTCCAGAGGGGACAGAAGGCAGCATTTTTTTTTTCTGCTTTCCTCTCCAGGGACCGTATAACAACACCGCAGCATTATTTTGACGCGGTGTGACTGACCTACGGCCTTGGCGACTCACAAAGGACAGCGAGAAAGCGAAAAAAAACAAAATAAAATTAAACGAAACGCCCTTTGGAGGCTCACCGCTCACCTCTTCCTGGGCTGGCGGGGTCTATGGGCTACAACAATGCGCTCGGCGAAACAGCCCCCATCTGGAATCTGTCAGAGTGGCTATTGTGTCTGCATGGGCTCTCTCTAGCTCGCGCGCGGTTGCTCGCTCTACTGAAATAACTGCGGTTTCGAACCGTTTCAACATAGTCTGCGACGTGAACCAGCGGATCAAACACAAACGTCGTCTCTATATCCGCTGTTTTTTAAACCGCAGTAAAGTGAAACAGCGCAAACGCAAACAAGGAGGCGCCGTTGCCGATAGAAACGGATCTTGCAACTTAGCATTGCCACTTGGAATGCAATATCGTAACTACAGATTATTATACTATTTTTGTTCCTTTGTGGAAAGGGTACGGTTGCTCTTTTAGGAATGCCGCTCAAAACGGGCCAAACAAAATAATAAAAATAAAACGAGCAAAGAGGTAGAAATTTGGAATTCCAGAGCTCTACACCGTTTCGTTTCGATAAACATTTGAAGAAGTGGTTGCGTTACCGCCGGCGTTGGGGCTTGCCTGCATAAAAGATGGGTATAAAAATCTGGCGCTCTATTTCTTCTTTTCTTTCTGTTCCTATTTCTTCCGGGTTTAGGCGAAGAATTTGTGACGACGCATCCGTGCCGCCGCGCGTTTTATGTAAACCAGTTTGCCTTGAATAATAAATGAGAGAGCTCGAAAGCAAAACACAAAATATCCGCAAAATAAGGTAAGGACATGCCTGGGTTGTGTGGAGCATCAGAACGGTCACCGGAAAAAAGGAAAGAAAGAAGAAAAAAAAAAGGAAAAGAATCTATCTACTCAATTTACTTATCGCTCGCGTTTTATCGATTGGAAAAGAGTGCATCGCCTCGCTGGACTCGCAACAAGCCACGATGACCTTTAGAAGCAAGCCCATCCCACCAGCGCAGCGTAAATAATAAAACAAAAAAGCATACCGCCGTTCTCGCGTCACTCAAACTCCATGTAAGGTCTCAATCATGGCGTAAATAAAACACGAAGAGAACAAACGACACGCGTAGCTGAAAACGCAAACACGTCGTACTACCTACTACGGCCAGTCTCGCATCGCCAACGGAGCATTGCGCCGCATGAATAATTACCTGCCATATTCGCCGCCGTCGATGAGCCTAGCCTTCCTCTCTTCCTCATCCTCGGTGTAATCCAGACCGCACGGCGGGCTCTCTCCCCTCCGTCTTCTCAAGACCTCTCGAGGCACTGGTGACCGAGAAACTCGGCCGATCGTGCGAGCGGCTCAACACCGCAGCCGATCCCAGGCACGACTAGACGGTGCACACAAACTCGCGGTAGCGCCCGTCGGAGATCGTCGTGAAGTCGAACCGTTCCGCCGATACTATGTTCCGTGACTCGTGGCCGACGCAGCAGCTTATCTTTCGCAACACACACACACACACGAGCACCAGCGACGGCGAACAGCGAGGTCGGGGGGCTTATCGCGGAGTCAAACGTACAGCACTCGACAAAAAACGGGGGGCGAACCCTAGGCCCTAACCCTAACACTTGAGGGACCCCGGACCGTCGACGAGTGCGAGAGCGCCATCCCCTTTCGTTTTTTTCTCCTGCGGCGTCGCACCGAAAACAACGGTAAACACACAGGCACGGCACAAACTCGCGGCGGCGTGGGGCGAAGTTTTCCCCGAAATGCGTTCGCACAGGGACCGCTCTGCCGTTAGAATGACGACAGATGCGGCGGTGTGTATCCTTCAGCAGTTATCCCGATGTGCGTTTTCGATGTGACAGGAGAACACTTCGACGGGCGGTCGCGCAATCACATCGTCGTACCGCTGCGAGGTAGTGTGCGGAGAGAGAGGTGTTGGTGCCGCATCTCGTAGCACTCGTAGGTCCGACTATCACGCGATAGGAAGTGAGAGTAGCGCTATTTGCTGCTTCCCGTGGAATCGAGTACGGCACAAGCGAAGAGCTGTTGACACACCGAAGGTCCGGCGCGCGGTCTTCGTTGGGAGGTTCCC